GACAGGCCGAGATAGGACAAGACAAGCAGAGAGACGAGCAGAGAGACGGGCAGAGAGAGGACGAGACAGGCCGAGATAGGACAAGACAAGCAGAGGGACGGGCAGAGAGACAGGCAGAGACGGGCATAGAGAGGCAGACAGAGAGACGCAGAGAGACGCAGAGAGAAGCAGAGAGACGCAGAAAAAGGCAGCGAGACGCAGCGAGACGCAGAGAGACGCAGAGAGACGCAGAGAGACGCAGAGAGACGCAGAGAGACGCACGGAGAGGCATAGAGAGGCAGAGAGAGAGGGCGAGGACGAGACAGGCCGAGATAGGACAAGACAAGCAGAGAGACGGGCAGAGAGACGGGCAGAGAGACAAGCAGAGAGAGGACGATACAGGCCGAGATAGCACAAGACAAGCAGAGGGACGGGCAGAGAGACAGGCTGAGAGAGGACGAGACAGGCCGAGATAGGACAAGACAAGTGGAGAGACGTGCGGAGACAGGCATAGGGAGGCACATCGAGGCAGACAGAAAGACGCAGAGACACGCAGAGACACGCAGAGACACGCAGAGAAACGCAGAGAAACGCAGAGAAACGCAGAGAAACGCACGGAGAGGCATACAGAGGCACAGAGAGAGGTTCAGCTACGTTCTCAGTTGAAAAGACAGTTTCGAAAGTAGAAAAGAAACTGAGGGATAAGCTCATAGCAACGTCGGTTTGTGAGACACGAACACACGGCGTCAGGCAGCAGTGTGCTCGGAATAGAAAGCTAGGAGGGAGCGAGAAAAGGAGAATCACAAGGACATCAAATGGGAGAAAGGATAGTGCGACACGGGAAAGACAGGTCGGCAAAATATGCGAGAACCGGCCAGTTTGACCCAAAAAAAAAACAGCAAAGGAGAAATAACGAGGGAAGTACTGGTCGGATCGAGGGGAACGCAAACATTATCTATACCTACCTTCTACGCCCTCACGAGAATTCACAAAACTGCTTGCCTTCTATACAGAGGCAGACCACTGCATGTGATATTATTCCGCGGGAAAAGCTAACAAAAGAACGGAGGAATTCACGCACGGATCGCCACGTGGCGCGATCGAGCGAATGGCTGAGAGCGTGCGGGGGTCACCTGAGATGGCTGATGTCCGTCCACGTCAGATACAATGCACAGGGAGGAATCCCTTAAGGCCAGTAACCCGTGGACGAATCTGGGCCGAGCGGAGGAGGACGTGGGGAGGACGAAGGGAAGAACGTGGGGAAACACGTGGGAAGGAAGTGGGAACGTGGGGGAGGAAGTGGGGAGGACGTGGGTAAGGACGTGGGGAAGAGCGTGGGGACGGACGTGGGGAGGAAGTGGGGACAACGTGGAGAAGAAATGGACACACAGAAGAGGAGGACGTGGGGAGGACGCAGGGAAGGACGTGGGGAAGAATCTGGGCCAAGCGGAGGACTTTGGGAGGACGTGAGGAAGGGCGTGGGGAAGCATCTGGGGCGAGCAGAGGACGTGGAGGAATCTGGGGGGGGTGTGAACCGTCAGTAGACACCAGGAAGCTCAGAAAAAAAAAAAAAAAAAAGGAAGAAACAGGAACGGATTCTCCTTTCCAAGGACGCAGGAACAAGAGGGTTGAAAATTTGAAAAAGAAGGGTTGAAATCGAGACACTGGCACAGTAGTCATTTATTGGTTGAAGCACTATAGTCATCTACTGGTCGACGCACAATCGCCATCCACTACGTACTCGAGGAACAACACATTGAAATGATAATGTCAACACATTGAAATGATAATGTTTATATGGTTTGGGACGACATGTTCGCTTACGTTGCCTTTGTATCGGTGACGGTAGTGGCAAATGGTTTGAGATGACATCTTCGCTTATGTTGAACGAAAGGGAAAATAGTTTGTATACGAGATTTTGTATCGGTGACTGTAGTGGCAAGCTACATGCGGCCGCGAGGAGAAATCGGAGACGCCCTGCGGACGAATGACCATTACAAAAGCTCTTCTACGCTTCAGTCCCAAACATAAAACCAGCCCCCTCTCTCTCTTTGTCTCTCTCTCTCTCGGGCGCGCGCGCGCGCGCACACACACAAACACCCCCCGCCCCGCCCCTCTTCCCGCCATACGATTGGGTCTGGTTCTGAATTTTGCACATTATTTGCGTTTGGATGCACAGAATCTCTCTCTCTCTCTCTCTCTCTCTCTCTCTCTCTCTCTCTCTCTCTCTCTCTCTCTCTCTCCCCCCCCCCCCCACACACACAAACACAAACACTCCACCTCCCCCATTCCCTGTCTCTTATACACATCTAGATGTGTATAAGAGACAGCTCTCTCCCCCCCCCACCCACACACACAAACACAAACACTCCACCTCCCCCATTCCCGTCATATGATATGGTTTGGTTCTGAGTTCTGTACGTTCATTCCGTTTGTATTCACGGGTCTCTCTCTCCCTCTCTCTCTCTCTCTCTCTCTCTCTCTCTCTCTCTCTCTCTCTCTCTCTCTCTCTCCCCCCCCCACCCACACACACAAACACAAACACTCCACCTCCCCCATTCCCGTCATATGATATGGTTTGGTTCTGAGTTCTGTACGTTCATTCCGTTTGTATTCACGGGTCTCTCTCTCCCTCTCTCTCTCTCTCTCTCTCTCTCTCTCTCTCTCTTGCGTATGCATACCGAAACGCTCGCGGGCGGAAACACGCCAACGTGCCTCCGTTCAGCCTTGACCCGTATCTACTCCGCGAATTGCGTGGCGGGCGGGAGTGCCCGAACGAATGGCGGAGATATGTACACCGGCGGCGACAAGCCAAATACCTTCACTGACAATGTCTGCGCGGGGGCACTACTGACTGTCGCACGTGACAATCACCATGTGCTCAAGGGAAAACCACAATGTTCGTACACTACCTTTGGCCAACAAGCCGGCATATCTTGAAGCCGGGTCTCCCAGTTCGGAGGTTAAAATCAACTCATTTTGCACTTAAATTGGTCAACCAGTGCGTATCAGTGTATCTCCGGAAATACATTGGTTGTATCAGTCCGCTGAGAGTTTCTACGTGGAGGCGACGACCTGTCAACCGGGCCCAAGCGACACGCCGCCACGTGCACGCCTTCCGTTCAAATCGCTTCATCTCGAACGGTCGAGGTTCGGGCGCACGGCGCCGGCTACGAGCGCAAAGGGCGAGTTGCCGGCTCAGGGTCGGGATTCGTGCGCGGGGAACGAGCTTCGTGCACTCTTGTGTGTGTGAGTGTGTGTGTTTCTTATGCGTCCATGCCCTTGTGTCTGTTCTCGCGCTCGCGCGGACTACCGGGCACGTAACCCGAAGATGAGGAGGCGAAAGAGAGATAGGGAAAAGGGGTGCGCAGGGGCGTCTTGTTCTTTGTACACTCACCTCCCAGCTGCGGCAAGACCGACGAGTGACTCCTGCAACCGCCTGAGGGCGCTCGTGACAGCAGGCATCTGTAACGCCATGGTCTTGTTTAGACGGGGAAGTGCGACCGGAGGCGAAGCCGGGGAATGTCCCATCTGGGTAACATTGAGATGCATTTTTCTGTAAAATAGCGCCTGAAGCTGAGCCATGATGTCTCCGATAACTCCAGATTCGCTTCCACCTCCAATTCCTCCAGCACCGCCAAGGCCGCTAGCCATCGAAGTCGCCCCCATTTTCCTCCTCTTTCCCCCCCTCCTGCTTCTTTTTCTTCTCCTCCTTCTGCTGCTGCTGATCTTTCTGCTTCTTCCGCTTCGGCTTCTGCTACTGCCACTAGCTCGGCAGATTCGTGCGCAACCAGATCAACATGCGACGCTGATTGCCGCACCCACGCCTACCTGCCATACACTCTATTATCTCCGTTACCACCATACACTCAAACTCAAATCTCCAGTCTTCTGCTTAATCCCCGTTCACTTCTTCCGCAGTTACCACCCTTCATCCTCACACCGTCTGATTTCCCGCGCTTCTTGGCCGCCATGTTATCTAGAATATAACGTGTTTCTCATAAGGAGAGATTTACTACCTCACCACGCTTCCCTGTCCCCGGTCACAAAGTGGTGGGAGGGAACCTCGATCTACTTCCGAACACTCTCTCTCCCCCCTTAGGTCCTTCAGCGAACCGCTTCCACTCCCTCCACCCAAACCTCGCTCTCGCCCACTCCCACGGCCAAACGGTAGTTTTCCCAGGTCAGATGCTTGTATACTGCCGCCGTCTCCGTATCCTCCCGCCGTTTCTACGCACTCCCGCCGTTTTTGTATACCCCCGTTTCTACCTTAGCATTGTCGATTCGCTCGCCTTTGCTCTCCACTCCGCTTCATGAGAACTCCACTCAGCCGACAATTCGGTTTTAACCTTCGGAGACTCGCAGCCGCGGTTTGCTCGCCTTCAAATTCACCAACACTTCCACCTCCCCTCACGTCTTGCGCCCTCGCTGCTGCTGCAATAGGCAACTTTTTTCTCCTACCCCCGATCCTGTTAATATTGTGACAAGCGCTCGAATGTCGTCTCTTACTTCGCTGTCCACTTGAAGCACACGTGCTAAGTCTTCTACCCCCTTCCTCATTTGTAGAGGTTACTACTGAGGAAGAAAAAAGAAAGAAAAGAGAAACTACTGCCTGTCAACCACCTCCCTTCGACAGTTCGTTGCTCCCACGATTACCCCAAGAACCTCCCACGCACCGTCGGAGTCAATATGCCTTGGTCCATATCGCCGGGGCCAACCGCATGACATCCGGCCTACAGCCACTGACCTCCTCCGCCCAAGGCCATAGCCAACCGGCAAAACCAGATAGGAGTAGTCTGCCCGAAGTGCAGCCAACAGTGGACAGCCCCAAGTAGGCTTGAGAAATCAAGGGGTGGAGAAATGACATCTCTCTCCGCAGAGAAGGCGCATCTTCTCAATTAAGATCAGGGCAAGGCACTAAAGGTGCTTTTGGTCAGTCCTGCACCCTCGTCCGAAAAAAGTTCGATTTAACTGGTGCACACTCCAAGCGCGGCTGCGGGATATGTCAGAAATATCAAGTACGCATTATCAACTGCCCGAGCGCGTATGTCAGACGCACCTTCGTCAAAATCCGCACATTCCCCAAGTATTCTTCGGCACACCCGTCTCGTCAAGCTGTATACCTGCAGCTCAACTTCCTGGTGATTGCTGGCATGGCACTCTCTGACCACATCGGCACTCTAATGTAGGGCAGCTGCTTTTCCTTCTGCCTGTCGACATTATTCTCTCTCTCTCTCTCTCTCTCTCTCTCTCTCTCTCTCTCTCTCTCTCTCTCTCTCTCTCTCTCTCTCTCTCTCNTCTCTCTCTCTCTCTCTCTCTCTCTCTCTCTCTCTCTCTCTCTCTCACACACACACACACACACACACACACACACACACACACACACACACTACGTTACATTAGCCAGTTGCCCGGGCCCATTCGTCCCCACTCTCTCGTGAAAACTTGCAGACAACGAAAAATACCATATTCACAACCACACCCCTTTCGTTTGCTCCCCCTGTCTCTGTGGTTTGGCCACGTCGCTGATGTAGCTCGCTTGTACTGCAGTATGACGAGTGACGTGGTGAAAACCGTATATTTATGAGCGATATCCAGTCATAGTATTAGCCTGCCCGCGGTAACGAGCGTCAAGCCTCTTCCCTTTTGTCAGGGGTGTCAAGCCTCTTCCCTATTGTCAGGGGTGAAAGAATTGCGAATGGCACACATTTCTAGAGAGGAAAAGAGGGAAGGGAGTCGGTCGAAGATGCTGAACTCCCGACCGAACAGAGGCGATCCCAACCCGCCACCAGGGAGGAGGAGAGTAAGCAGAGCACTAACTAAAGCACAGGAAGAAACAGTAGACAGAAACTACTACCTAGCTCACCTCTCGACCACGAATCACTGGCTCCGCTACGACAATGTCCATCACCTGGCATATCCCTTCCGCCTCTTCACTCCCTTCGCGAGACACATTATTACCTCCTGCCTCCCGCTCCTCTCACCTCTCCTTCTACTACCCTCCTTCCTTCCTCAGGCTCCTCACGGTCTAGCCACGTGTTAACTTAAACTACGAGAGTGAGTCATGATCACGGGTGATAAGCACAGACATAGAAGCGCTCCTCGTTCTATAGACTGCTCCTATATCCCATCCAGCCAGAGGTGAAGATGCTCCGTTTCCGTCCTGCGGACAACAATGCCACCTAACTTCAAATGAACCCCACAGGGAAGAGGAGGTAGGGATGGTAGGGAGGAACGAAGAAAGACCTGCTGCATTCTACACTCCACCGGTCTGTCTACTCAAGACCTTGCGCCGGTCTGTCTACACATCTCTTCGAAGACGGACACAAGGGGGCGCCAATGCTGAACGAACAGCTCCCAGCTGATCGCCCGCAACTTGCGCTGTTCGCACACCTCCCTCCCTTCCCTCCAAACTCCGAACCCCTGCACTTCGCTCTCTCCACTACTTGTGTACAGTTGATTGCCTCCCCGTCCTTCCGACCTCTCTTGCCTCCCCGTCCTTCCGACCTCTCTTACCTCCCCGACCCCCACTTCGACTCCCACCCACTTCCACCTCGTCGGCCTACACTCGCGGGAGGAGACAGCGATGCACGCAGTCACCGTAAATTCGCTTCGTCTTTCCCTGTCAGCATTAGCAAGTGACACCCGTCGAGCACTCTTCCAACACTCCCCAAATATAAAAATCGCGAATGCACGTCGCCACGTTCTGCAGTAAGATACGTTCCGCATTTTCGCACTTGGAAAATACTGGAAAGAGCCCGGACCCAGTTCGAGCGGGCAAACACAAGTTGACAGGTGGGATCAACCCGCGGCGATCGCCTCGCCTCCGCCGCCCCCCCGCCTCGCCTCCGCTGCGCCCAGCCCGCCAAGCCCTCGGCTTCGCTAGCCTTCCCTGACCTACTGCGTCTGCCAGGTGAAACCGAAACGTGGGCTTGCTTCGTTAGGCTGAGGAGCGACTTTCGATGGGGCGGTAGGTTGTCGCACGAACATCACTCATTGCACGACAAGTTGTGCCGCCCCAGGCCAGGCCGGCCTGAACGAGGAAATGGGCGGCACATCTCTCAGTAGGAGTCAGGCCGGAGATCCATCGGAGATCCCACCGCACGTCCGATTGGGAAACGCAACCCCCCTCCTCCCAGTCTGATCCCCCATCGAAATCGGAAAACAGGGTTCAACAAAAGCCCCAGCCCGCCCGTAATAGGATCGATTCCATCTACGACCCAAATTGTCTCCGAACAGGAAATTATTATTGAGAAAAAGGTGGAAGTGTCCGAAGTGAAAAAAAAAAAAAAGGATTGATGAAGAGTGCTCTTGTGTGTTCTTTTCCTGTTCTTTGTTCGGGATACTTGACCTCGTTCATGATTGGGGCAAAACGAAACCCGAGAAAACAACAACCAAAAAGAACAAAAAAAACGAAACAACATTCGCAGGGAGTGGCTGCGAGGCACAGGACGGGATGCAGAACGACCCCTGCCCTCGTGCGCCAGGCGGGCCCGCACCTGGCCCGTCCGCTCCGTTCGACGAAGAGCACGCCACCGTGTACCGACCCTGCACGGGTTCCTACGGCCGCTCTCGCTGTCTCGCTTGGTGGGGCCTGTCTGCTCTTTTCTTCTTCTTTTTTCCCCTTCATTTTTGAACCGTAGCATTTGCATACGGAACTGAGCATTTGCATACGGAACTGACCGACCTCCCCTCTGTCCCAATAACCGTAGAGACTGTTCTTTCCTCTCTCGTCCTCCGCCTACCTCCCTCCCTCCCCGCCAAACGTGTCGCCGAATTCGAACTCCTGAAGTGTTTTTTGCATGTGAGCACCCGTAATCGGACTGCCTCCCAACCATAGCACATCCATCAGTGGGCTCCGCGCCCTCTGCAGACTGGCCTCTTCGGACTGTCCACGGCCGGGTCCCACATTGTGACACCAGGTAGCGGGAAACCAAAAGCAAGTGCATTGAATGTGGACAAACAGGGGGGCCCGAAGTCATAAGAACACACACCAGGGGCCGGGACAGACTAGCATCGTTTAAAACGATGTGTGGCGTTCTTTTCTCATTTAAAAACGCATAAACAATGCTACTTTTCATTTACACGAATGCAGAGAAGAGGACCCAACGAACGAAAAATCACGGGCCTGACATCGACATCATGACAGTACAGGCTGTGCATCCACAGTTCCTCCAACCCGGTACATCTGCATGCGACCTTCCCACCGGCCTGTTCCCAGTCTTCCATGGAAATCTCAATATTGAATATTCTCAATTTCTGCAAAAACAAAAAAAAAAAAGCAAGGCGCGAAGTTTCAAAATCAGCCCCCCCCTAAAGACACCATAGAATTGAAGCTTCGCACCAACGCAAAGTAGCCAACTAAATGGCCAACAAATGAATTTTCAAAAATTGTACTGGCCGGTGGGCAGCTCCCTCCATAAAAACAAAGAGAATCGACATTAGCAGTCAATACGCAAAAAGATCAACGACTGACCTTTGTCACGGACAGCCGCACGTGATCGAAAACCACAGAGCACAAGCGTAAATCGGACCTAGCCGGTCTTGGCTCCAGGTAGCGGGAAAACAAAAGGAAGTGCTTTCCCCCCCTCTCAAAAAAAAAGGAAGTGCGTTCAATGTGGACAAAAAAGGGGGTCCAAAGTCGTAAGAACACCGACTTCTTCAGGGCAGATACTCACACTAGGACCTAAGGTCACAAATATTTGAGGTACTGCCAATTTGCAACTTTGGGTACCCGTGTGGTCACACGGGCGGACTCTGTCCTCAAAGGACACAGTCGCGGCCCTGACATTTGCACCTCGCAGGAACTGCAGGTAGTCACACTGCTTACACTCAAGAATATATAGAGGGGGGGGGGGGTTTCAATGCTCAAATAACACGCGTTTCTTTTCTTTCTCATGCACGAATTTCTTTTTTTTTTTTTCCCTCAAAATTCAATTTCATTACTCAAATCATTCAGAGGCTGGAGTCCTCTACATCACTTCCCCGTTCAAACTGGTGTCTGGAAACGTCATCCAACTTCGCTTACAGGCTGAAAACCTGCAGGTCTTTCCTTCAGACCCAGCAGCTCGTTGGCTGCATAGTCATCTACAGACCACAGACTACCCTACCTAATTCCTACAGATGGTGCAGTTTTCCCTGTACAGCTAGCAAAATCCTACGGAGTTCCCTACTCAAAAGAGGAGTAGCCGCCAATGTTAAA